GCCCCACAAGATCTTTCGTGAAGCCACAAGAGCTTTTCCATACTTCTCCAGTGATGGTGGTCCAGTCCCCTAATGGGGTGCTGCCCATTGGATTCCGCCACCTGAGGCAGCTGCCTCAGGCCATCTGATGGATGGGCTGGCACTGAAGAGTGGCCATTGCCTAGTCGCACAGCACATGCTGTGTGCACGGTAGGTTTTGGATTCAGTCCCTGGCATCTTCAACAAGGACTGAGAAAGACCCACATGGAGACCCCAGAAAGCTTCTGCCAGTCAGAGCAGAGGACATTGGCTGAAGGGATAAACAGTCTGACCTGTTTTTTGGCAGATTTCTACCAAATCTTCAAAGTCTCCCCAACGTGTATGAACATAGGCTGCTTCTTATCAAATCAACTTGGAGGGTTTTGGTTTTTTAAAAAGTCTAGACCAACTGATGTAGGGTAAGTCAAAATACTGGGATCAAATGCAGGAGAAGGATAAAGGCTGTATTTATATGTTGGGGGGAGGGAAGGAATTGGATTTGGATGAGGAAAGAGTCAGCAGGGAACCTGAAGTGAATTCTCAGAATTCTGCATGTTAGAACACCAAGACTATGTTATGACACCCAGGGGGGATTTCTCTCAGAAATGTCTGAGAGAAATCATTCTGTTTTGAAAGAAAGTACACATTCTGCATTTATAGTACTGTGTAAATGTGTGTGTCTGTGTTTCCTACCACTGTGAAGCAGGGTTCTTAAAAAAATTAAAATAATAAAAAATAAAAGTATCTAGTCAAACTGGAAGACTGGAGAGAGCATAGATAAAGAGAATAAATTAAACATGACTATATTATCATAGGTTCCCTGACTGAAAAGCATTCTGGAAAAAGAAAAGAAAGCCCACAAACTTTAAGCACATGAGCAGTTAAAATATTCCATATTCCAAGGTGAGAGGAAGAGAATATGAATTGGCTCCATATTCCTGAGTCAATTTGTGGCACAGTGTTTGTAATGCAAAATGCTCCCAGCAATATAGACTCCAGTAACGAGTTCATACTTTCAAAGAAGTGGTGAAAAATGCCTGAGTATTTCAGTATAGAATGAAAAAGGGTGGATTTCCTCCACGGTGAGATCTAGGAATCCCTTGTTTTTAGTAAAGTAAAAATAAAGTAAAAATCCCTTGTTATTTTTTGCAGAAGCAGACTAAGAACATGCCATCAACTATTTTAAAGGGGGTTCTGGGAAGGTGCCAGCAGATTCACAATTACTGCACTGAAAATCTTTTCTTTCCCCACCTATTAAATTTTATCGACTATTTCAAGGAAAACAACATCACAATAGGAAATCAGCCTCAACTTCTTTGTTCCAGAGAAGAAAAGTGGGGGGAAGTAAAGAAAAAGAAAGGACACATACACATATCTAGTCAACTATATAGTATAAACTGAGTCATAGCACCATAGCAAAATCAAAATTTTTGTTATAGAGTCTGCAGCAAATGCACTGTATTGGAAAGCAGGGCCCTACAACTGCTTTGAATGATGCCTGAAATCCGAACCAAAGCAGTCCTGGTCCAAAGTTGGTCGAGGCAGCTCAGGATCGATCCAAAATGGCTCAGATTGTTCAAATCTCTCTGGAGCACTTTGTTCTAATCCAGAGTTTGAAAGCAAGACGGCAAATCTCACAAGTGTTGCAAAGTAACATCATATACAGTACAGTATGGGTAGGCAAACTAAGGCCCAGGGGCCTAATCTGCCCAATCGCCTTCTCAGTCCTGTCTGTGGACTGGGAATCAGTGTGTTTTACATGAGCAGAATGTGCCCTTTTATTTAAAATGCATCTCTGGGTTATTTGTGGAGCAGAGGAATTCGTTCATTCCCCCTCCAATATAGTCCGGCCCCCCACAGGGTCTGAGGGACAGTGGACCAGCCCCCTGCTGAAAAAGTTTGCTGACCCATGATATATAGTAAGGAGAACACCAGAGTGGGCAGAGGGGAGCTGGATTTACTCTCTGAGAGACCAAGCTTCCAATCCAGGATTAGATTCTCACCCAACACTCTCCAGTCACAGGGATTAGGGGAAGGAATAGTGAAGCGTTAAAACTAGCATCTCTCGCTCTCTCTCTCTCTCTCTCTCTCTCTCTCTGCCTTCACTCTTTTGTAAGGTCTCTCAACATTAGAAAAAGTTTGGTGGCATTTGTTCTCCTTGCCTTCTGTTTATTATGCAGTACCCAACCCAGCCTTTTTATATACATAGCCAAGGGGATGCAGGTGGTGCTGTGGTCTAAACCACTGAGCTGCTTGGGCTTGCCAATCAGAAGGTCAGCAGTTTGAATCCCTGCGACGGAGTGAGCTCCTGTTGGTTTGTCCCAGTTCCTGCTAACCTAGCAGTTTAAAACCAGTGCAAGTAGATAAATAGGTACCGCTGCAGCAGGAAGGTAAATGTGTTTCTATGCGCTCTGGTTTCCGTCACGCTGTTCCATTGCTCCAGAAGCAGTTTAGTCATGCTGGCCACATGACCCGGAAAGCTGTCTGCATCCAAACACCAGCTCTCTCGGCCTGAAGCGAGATGAGAGCCACAACCCCATAGTTGTCTTTGACTGGACTTAAACGTTCAGGAGTCCTTTACCTTACCTTTTTACCTTATATACATAGCCATTTGTTTTCTTTCATTTCCCAATTAATCCTAGTTCCATCTTGATTCTGAGCATAAGATTCCTGCATTGCAGTGAGTTGGACTAGATGGCCCTCGTGATCCATTCCAGCTGTTTGGTTCTATGATTCTATGAGTTGTTCAGTTCAGGGCTAGCCTGCCCATGAATCCCAACAAGGTGGTGCCCCCCCGGACACCCCACCCGCTGCCACCCGGTATTGCCTGGGGAGGGGCAGCTTACCATCCCCATGGCAAAATGGGATAGGCTGCCACTGATTCAGCTTGATTATTTTATCCTCCATTTCACATCAGTACCCAGAAGGATGCTCACATGCCAACATATCAACATGACAGAATGTGGCGGGTCCGTGACGACTGACTTTGTTTGTACAGTGGTACCTCGGGTTACAGACGCTTCAGGTTACAAACGCTTCAGGTTACAGACTCCGCTAACCCAGAAATAGTACCTTGGGTTAAGAACTTTGCTTCAGGATGAGAACAGAAATCGCACGGCGGTGGCGCGGCAGCAGTGGGAGGCCCCATTAGCTAAAGTGGTACCTCAGGTTAAGAACAGTTTCAGGTTAAGAACGGACCTCCAGAATGAATTAAGTTCTTAACCCGAGGTACCACTGTATTATGTTCAAATAAAATCTTATTGAATAACAGAGTTATGATTTCCAGAGAGGTTTAACAGTCAACCCCTCTCCCATATTGTAGCTCTGTGCTGGGTATAGTGGTCTCTTCACAACTCTTTTGCCCCCAACTCTTTTGCCCACAGAAAGTCCTGGCGTCAATTGCTGGCATTTCCACTTAGAAGGTGATGGGAAAGACCTCTCTGCCTGAGAGACCCCTGAGAACTGCTGTCAGTCAGAGTAAGCGATACTAGGCTAGATGAACAAATAATCTGACCTGCTCTAAGCCCGCTTCCTATGTTCCTAATGGATTTATATTGAGAGAGGCATTTGGACTTTTTCTTGTGGGATTTCCACATGCCTGAGTAATGGAAAACCAAACATCACTGAAAGCTTACTACTTCCATTGCCCTTTGGTTGTGCAGGTCTGACAAGTTATTTTATGCACAATCATGACTTTCTATGGCTTATTTAGTAAATCTGTCAAGGGGAGTTTGGTTGTTCAGGAAGCATAGGAAAGCATAGTCATTGTAGTTCTCAAACTTCCTCCCCAGAGTTTCCTAGAAGTTACACTTCAAGGAGACTGGGCAGCTAAAACCAACAGCATTCTAGCATTTTAAGAAGATTTCTGGTACCATAGGAATGCTGATAGTATAACACATGAGTAGGCAAACTAGGGTCTGGGGGCCAAATCCAGCCCAATTACCTTCTAAATCCGGCCTGTGGATGGTCTGGGAATCAGTACATGAGTAGAATGTGTGCTTTTATTTAAAATGAATCTCTGGGTTATTTGTGGGGCATAGGAATTCGTTCATTCCCCCCCCTCAAAATATAGTCCTGCCCCCCACAAGGTCTGAAGGACAGTGGACAGTGGCCCCCTGCTGAGAAAGTTTGCTGACCCCTGGATAACAGCAAGGCTGTTACTCTGAGTTATGGCTGTATCCCCTCTCCCCCTCAATGGAAAGCATAAGTGAAAGTTAGGTTTAAAATAACCCAAATTCTTTTAAAAGAGATTTTTCTTACTCATGAATAGAAAGATTGGTATAAAATGTATGAGGCATGTTGACACTCAACAAGTGTAGAATCTGTTCACACAAATAGTTGAACTGTACAAATCAACATGTGTACACCCTTTCACACAGACACGTGTGCATGTGTAGAGACAGCTTGTACATGTCTCTAAAGAGTAGCGTGTGAACAAACCTATGGTGTCAGTCATATTAGTCTAGTTATCAGGGTAGGTGTTCACAAACTCTGTAAGCTCTCTGTGGATTTTAGCCGCTTATGGTTAGATTTCTGAACAATCCACTATCAGGCAGAAGTTATCCTTAAGCTTAGCCAAAAGACTAACTGCAATTATCATTACTTCCCATAATTCAGGGTCAGTGTTATGAGAGAACATTGATGAAAACTGTTTTATGTTCTTATAATCTGGTGCCTGAACTGTGGACAGAAAGAAGTTCTTCATGAGCATCTTGGCTGCTCTCCAAAGATGCATATAGAGGTCTAAAAATGGCTGAGAGAAGGAACATGTATGAAAAGAGGCGAAAAAGCCCCAATTCAGTTCCACAAGCTCCCAAACATGTAATTGGCACCATGAGAAATGCATATTTTATTGGGAGCTGTGCTGTGTTTTCTGCTTGGGAACATAGGAAGCTGCGTTACACTGAGTCAGAACAATTGATCCATTTAGTTCAGCATTGTCTATACTGACCAGAATCAGCTGGGTTTCTCCCAGCCCTACCTGGGGATCCCAGGGATTGAACCTGGAACCTCCTTCATGCAAGGCAGATGTTCTACAACTGAGCTATGGCCCTTCCCATAAACTTCTCAGTCAAGTGTAGACAATACTGAACTTGATAAACCAATGGTCAGATGTGGGGAAAAGCATCATCCAGGGACGCGGGTGGCATTGTGGTCTAAACCACCAAGCCTCTTGGGCTTGCTGATCGGAAGGTCACTGGTTCAAATCCCCACAATGGAGTGAGCTCCCATTGCTCTGTCCCAGCTCCTGTCAACATAGCAGTTCGAAAGCACACCAGTGCATGTAGATAAATAGGTACTGCTGCGGCAGGAAGCTCAACAGCATTTCCGTGTGCTCTCATTTCCATCATGATGTTCCGTTGTGCCAGAAATAGTTAGTCATGCTGGTCACATGACCTGGAAAACTGTCAATGGACAAACGCCGGCTCCCTTGGCCTGAAGCAAGATGAGTGCCGCAACCCCATAGTCGCCTTTGATTGGACTTAACCGTCCAGCTGTCTTTTACCTTTTTACCTAAAGCATCATCCTGTAGGCTGGGCTAAATTGACAAGGATAATTCTTCAGCTCTTTCACTCAGCTTGAAACCAGCTTTTTTGCTCTGACAACATTTTAGGGGGTAGCTGCAATTCTTTTGTGGGAAGAGTATCAGAGTACCCCCTCCCAATTTCTTTCCCCTGTAATTTCTTTTCTGGTATTTTTGGATTTGGCTGCCACCATTAAAACAGGGGAGGGGAGCTGGATTTGGCCAGTGGGGACTGAAAAGTTAGTCAAACCCATAGTAGGGCAGTATAAACCCAAATGTTACAAAATGGCAAGCAAGCCTTTGAGTTTATTTCATCCTGTGACATTCTGGCACATACTAATACCATTATTGTCCTGCTGTGGATTTGGATTTTTTAAATTCCTGATGGATCAACACTGCTCCCTCTGGCTTGGTTTTTTTTTTTTTGTTGTCAGAGGAGCTCAGTGCTTTGTTTTGTTTTTTTTTTAATGTGGTTTTACTGTTAATAGTCCCTAACCCAGTTTTATTTAAGTTTTCCTGTAAAATAAATCTTAATTCAGAAGCCCTGTCTACAGAAACTCCTCTTCTGGATTGGGGGTGGGGTAGGGAATGCAAGGGAGAAACTATATGCTTTCAATATTTCCACATAGCTGTGGTTGAAGTTGTAGGGTGGGCCAGGACTGTTAGGTTTCCTGCCCCCCTGGGACCAGGTGTCAAACTTCACTGACACTCAGGCATGAAAATTGCTCTGGTGGTTTGGCTCAACTCCAGACAGTTGCATGTCCCATTCATGAAGCCACATGCAGAGATCTGCTTCGCTGTGAGAGAGGTTCCTGGGAGGCATTACTGATAAATACTAAGGCACATCCTGAGAGGTTCCTTAGCACTTGGTGATGGGGAAAGGCATTGATTGCAATAAAGGTGTCTGGACCAACGTAGGCAGTAGAGGCTCGTCCACTGGCGTGATTCCACATCACTTCCACATCAATCTCATTCTGCCCTTAGCTAGCCCTCACCTGCCTGACTTCTTACTTACAACCAGTCCAATGGCTGACTCTACCTGTCCTGCGCTCTGGTTCCACCTAGTGTTGGTCTCTCTGCCTTCCACCCTACTACTCCCAATGGCCACCAGCCACCACTGAAATCAGGGATAAGGAAACCATGGTCCTCCTGCTGTTGCTGGACTACAATCCTCATCATCCCTGGTGATTGTCCATGCTGTTTGGGGCTGATGGGAGTTTGAGTCCAGCTGGGTCTGGAAGTCTTCAGCTTTCTCATCCTTGCAGTAAACTTTTAAACCACACAGTGTTGTAGTCTCACTGCTGAGCAACAATATGTAGTTCCCATTGGCGTGGGAGGCCAATCAACAAGAAGAGTCTCTGAGGTCTACTTGCCTGGAGGTAGAGTCAGTATCCAAAGTCAGGTCCAGTCCTAGGGTTGGGCAAACAGCAATCCATGTGGTAAGATGGTCCAGGGGTGAGGGAATCCAATGATCATGGGGTCAAGGGTCAAGACGAACAGGAAGAAACAAGATAGCTCTGCACTCCAGTAGGTGCAGAATGCCGCGACAAGACTCCTTATGGGGTCTTCACCGCGGGATCACATTCATCCAGTGCTATACCAGCTGTACTGGCTCCCGGTGGACTACAGGATCAGGTTTAAGGTGCTGGTTTTAATCTTTAAAGTCCTATATGGCCTAGGACCTTCGTACCTACGTGACCACCTCTCCTGGTACGCCCCATGGAGGACCTTACAGTCTGCAAATAACAACACCTTGGAGATCCTGGGCCTCAGAGAGATTAGGTTGGCCTCGACCAGGGCCAGGGCCTTTTCGGCCTTGGCACCGGGCTGGTGGAAAGCTCTGCCACAAGAGTTCAGGGCCCTGCAGGATTTGACATCTTTCCACAGGGCCTGCAAGACAGAGTTGTTCTGCCAGGCCTTTGGTCAGGGCTAAGCCTGACTCCCCTTTTCTTTTTGTATAAGAACTAATATGAAAGAGGCCGCCCAGCATTCTCATAGGCCCATATAAGATCAACGTAAACAGTTGGGCCGATGAGCACTTACTGTTCCCAACCCTAACCCTGTGGAAAGCCATCTAATTAGACTTTAGTTTGATTTTGACCTGTTTTTAGGAGGTAATTTAATTATTGTTTGATTTTATACTCATATCTGATGTCTTCTAAAAGTCTGGTGGTTTTTTCTCTCTTTTACATGTGGTGGGAGGGCGTTCTACAGGGGGGGTGCCACTACCGAGAAGGCCTTCTGCCTGGTTCCCTGTAACTTGGCTTCTCGCAGTGAGGGAACCTCCAGAAGGCCCTCGGTGCTGGACCTCAGTATTCTAAGCACAGGATGGCTGTGTCTGAGTTCACATCTTGTTTCAGAAAGTGGAAATAAGCTAGGCTCACATTAAAATATGAATGGAACTGAATTTCTCCCACATCCCTGAAGATGATAAACTGCTAGGCTTTTAAACAGTCTCCTTGACTCCTGTTCCTGTTGCTTTTTATTGTTTATTTTTGTCAGTTCAACTGTTGTGCTGTTGTTTTAAAATGATATGCTGTTAACCATCTTGGGCTATTTTATAAGGAAGGCAGAATATAAAAATTAAAAATGAAGGAAGGAAATAATGGAAATAACTTTTTGGGGGGGGGGCTCTTTGATATCCATTAAAAAGACTAGAATCCCCATTCTTCAAAAAGTATAACCTTCCATAGAAAATAGTGCCTCTCTTTTTGTGCTGTCTTTCCCCACAAAGTAAAACTAAAGCATGGCAAATCTATAGAGCTTATATTAAGATTCTGAAAAGAAGCTTTACCCTAAGTAGAACATGTGCTCTGGTATTGCCCCATCACCTGGTCAAAGCTGCTACTGCAGCTGCAATTTTGGAATCACAAATCCCAACGCATAAGAATGAAAGCTGTAAATCATCACCAAGGGACAACCAGATGAAATTGTCATGGTTAAGGAGCTACAAATCCTTATCATCCTTTGTGATGAAGCAAAGGCTTAAACTCCTTCCTCCCTATATTATCTCCCTGTTTTGCTTTTAATCATGTATGCAAGGACTAAAAACATGCATAATGTCACATCTAAAAGGGTAAAGGGACCCCTGACCATTAGGTCCAGTCGTGGCCAACTCTGGGGTTGCGGTGCTCATCTTGCTTTATTGGCCGAGGGAGCTGGCATACAGCTTCCGGGTCATGTGGCCAGCATGACTAAGCTGCTTCTGGAGATCCAGAGCAGTGCACGGAAACGCCGTTTACCTTCCCGCCAGAGCGGTACCTATTTATCTACTTGCACTTTGACGTGCTTTCGAACTGCTAGGTTGGCAGGAAATGTCACATCTAGTTTGGTCCTTATTTACATATTAAGGTAGATTTTCCTATGCTATATTGTAATGATCAGCATACCATTATATACAGGGAGCTGTGTAAATGCAATCAGGATGTTGATTTTGGCCAATCAATTAGCTTGTACATCTTATTCAGTGGTGCTACCAGCTGGCACCCCAGCCCAAAGAAGGCATTCAGTAAATGGTTTTGAATTTCACAATCTAAGTAAATGGCAATTGCAGGTCACTTTGTATTACAGGTCTAATTGCTGGCAACAGAAGCCTTGCATCCGTCTTTCGAGTATCAAAGTTGACTTGGAGAAATGGAACACCAAATTGGGTTCCCTTGATGAATGGGCAGTTAATTTGCATGATGGGAGGGCGTACTATCACAGTGAAGTCAAGTTGCTCCAGTAGGTGGAGACATGTTCCTTGATAATAGGAACTGAGCAATTTGCCAGAAATGAAATTTACTCAGGTTTCTGGTCTATGTTGAAGATTTATTCCTATGCACTGATTTAGAAACATGCTTCTTTAAGTATTTGAATCTGGTTTATAACACAGGAGGCAGTGAATCAACCAAGGATGTATTCTTAGGATGGTGTTTCGGTGGACAATTGCTTTGGTTTTCTTTGAGAAGAAAGCAAGACATGGCATATCCAGACAAACTAAAGTCCTTTTGAGTCCCACCAATTTCAATGAGAATGTTTAGGATGGTATGAACCTACCAGCTCCTTTACATCTACTTTGGAGGTGCCACAAGATGCTTTCTCTACTTGTGTGCAGTTGGATCACCAAGTATTGAGCAAGCATGGTGGTTGAGGAAGCCAACACAACTCCACTGCCCCTTGCTGGCTCTGGGCTGAAGGAGGCTGGTGGAGGTGCAGCTCAAGGTCAGGGAGAAGAGAGAGAGGAAAGGGGATAGAGAAGAGAATGAGAGAGAGGCTGGGGAAGGGTGTAGCAGAAAGAAAAGGGAGGGAGAAAGAAGGGACGACTCCATATGTTTGGTTCCAGTTCCATTCATATTTGATTTTGGACCCACCATCTGATCTACAGCCCCTGCCGAGATAGCTATGGCTTTGCCCATCATTTACTCCTGTCCCCGATTGACTTTTCCCATGGATCAACAGCCCTTTATAGAAAAAGTGCTCCACACCAGAAGTTGACAGTACTGAGCTAGATGGGCAAATGACCTGGTATAATTCAGCTTCTCATGCTT